GCTCCTATTCTAGTGATGTATATAAGAAACCACTAAAGAAAATGAAAAAGTATATATGAAAAACTTTGGATAGACAAGTCATTATAAATCACTAAACTCATCCAAAACATTGAATCATTTTCATAGACTTGCAAAAAAAAATCTTTGAAACTTGAAGAGATTATAGAATGAAGAGATAGTAATTCTAAAACTACCCCATATTGTCTAAACCCACCGCTGACTCAAAAGCAACCGCAACAACAACTAATACCATCAGGCCTCCACTATTACCCGGATTGATAGCCGCATCCACATGAAACACGCTGTTGCTGTGAGTGTATGTAGTTGAATCAATTCTTGATACAATTCCAGAAGTGACACATATGTTGTCACCACCTACGATGAAATGTATCAATATCAGCGTAAAGAACCAGAATAAAGATCAGAAAACAGAAATTCTACTTATTTAAATATGAATACATGCGGGATAGCCAACAACGCACACTTTTTGCAATAGTCCCGATTTCCAGAATTGGTAACATATTTGTTTTGTATTAGTTTAGTAGGCTCAAAAGTTAGTTTCCAAATCAAATGCATATCTTTTTCACAAGATCAGTGTGCTGTTGAGCAAAATGGTTAGTAAGAGAGGATACTTTTCAGAAGCAAACAATAATTTTGGAAGAAGAGAAGAAGACGAGGAGAGGGATATGCTTACCTTTGGCGATGCGGCGACTAGCTGATCATTCCTCTCCTTAGGCCTATAAGTTATATAGTTTGTTTGATTTGTTATTACAAAAACATCTAAGGTAAGTGCCAAGATGTGATCATCACAATACCAAATAGAAACAAATCAAACGCAAAGAAAAATAGAAGTATTGAAGTGACTTACTTCATAACTGCGAATCCACCAACAGCTTTAATCTTTGCTGTATGAGTTCGTTAAGCATGATCGGGGCTTTCTCCACAAGCTCTTTCGCTTCTTTCAGACCAAAGCTCGTGAATGTTCTCACTTCTTTTATCACTTTGATCTCTGCAGCTGCATCAAACTTCTCCTTGCACATCTTTCTCAAAGACTAC